CAGTAATCAGCAACAGATATGTTGTTGTGAAATTCAGATATAAAAGAATAAAATGGATATAATAAAAACTAATGGGAGAAACAAAATAGATCATATACTAAGAATCTGAAATTTGACTTCTCAACAGAAATTTGAATACTAATGGAATATTGAGGACTAGCAGAGTATCTCAAGGAGAGAAGTAAAGAAAGCCCAAAGAGGATAGTTTTGCATTAGGAGTACAGGGAATAGCCCAGATCAGATTGAAGAATGCAGAGCTGTGGGAAGGCGGTGTCCGAGGTGTGTGTGTGATGGTGGGCAGGGGACGGAAATTACTGAGTGTTAGGACCTGTGCTGTAATCCTAGGGAAAATCAGTGACAGGAGTCTGAGAGGTCTTTTGGAACACTGAAAAGCAGAAATAGATATGAAGAGATTTAACCAGATATAAAATTGTTAAGTAGGAAATTAAAAAGTATTCTGTAGGCAATGCATTATAGATAACAATGTAAACACTAATAACAAATTATACCCTCAAAATATGATAATCTTATATTGATATACTGGGAAAAAGGAAAATATGGGTGAGTATGCAACAAAGCCAAACCCTTATCTGCTTATCTGCTGTTAAAGGGATTTTTTTCCCTCTCTTTTTTCTTTGTATTTTTTCAGGAAGATTAGCCCTGAGATAACTACTACCAGTCCTCCTCTTTTTGCTGAGGAAGCCTGGCTGTGAGCTAACATCCGTGCCCATCTTCCTCTACTTTATACGTGGGACACCTACCACAGCATGGTGTGCCAAGTGGTGCCATGTCCGCACCCGGGATCCGAACCGGCGAACCCAGGGTCGCCGAGAAGCAGAACGTGGAAACTTAACTGCTGCACCACCAGGCCGGCCTCTGCTGTTACAGGGATTTTTAAAATTGATAGATATGTCTAAATACCGATTTATACTAAATATAAATATATTATTATTTACTGAATATGTTTTAGATAGATAGGTCCATGAAGGTAAAAACCAAAAGAAATAGAAAATATTTGTCTCTCAGAGGCAGGCTTAGGTGTTTAGAAGAATTAATGCGTGGAGATACTGATATTTCTTATGAGCATTAGGTACTGTTTATTGTTCATTTCATGTGATGAGTTGGATTATTGTCAGTTCTTCACTCCTTTATAACAACTAGACCCTTACGTAACTAGAGAGCCTTCCACTGTGGACAGAGAAACTTTCCTCACCCTTTGCTGTGGGGTTTGGACATTTGACCGTGTGACTTGCTTTTGCCAAAAGAATGGTAGCAAACACCAACCCTACATAGATGATTAAAACATACTTTCATGATTTGTTTTACCCATGTGTGCCTGAGATCCACCCAGAATAGAACAGGAAGGTTTGGTTCAAGGAGAATGAGGAAAACTTTGGCGTCAACTTGAACCCAGCTTGTAACAGAGAAGCAAGTGCAGCTGACCCTAGTCAAGTCCTGTGGATCCACAGCCAACCCATGAGCAAGGAAATGAGTGGCAGTTTTTATAAGCCACTGAGAAATGTGATTCGTTATATAAGACACTGAGAGCTTTCAGGCTGATTAGTTAATTAAAAATTAGCTAATACTCTACATTTATGGTACATGCATCATGAGTAAATGAAGAAAAACAAAAGTTAAGCTAATTAAAAATAATAGTAATAACAAAAAAGAACTCCGTGGGAAAGTTAGGATTCCATACACTGGAATTTCCATACTCTACTAAAGTAGTCTTGTTTCTACCTGTTTACTCCATGATGACAACACTCAAGTCTGTTTTTCTCTTCCCAAGAGTAGCACAAATGACTCAGCATGAGCAGTCTGTTAGATCATGTTGTCCAAAAGGCTGGCAATATACACAACGACATCGTTTGTTAGAATCAATTGTCTTCTCCTTTTCAGAAGGTTACTCTGTATTTCGACCCTTGGGCAATGCTTAACATCCAAGGCTTTCCCAGTCCTTTCACTTGTGTGTACCTCAGTTTCTCTATTCTGGGAGTATTGCTATCTGCTTCCATCCTGTGTTCCCCACACCATTGTTGAAAGGAAAGTAGATTCAGTTAGTTTAGAGCAGCGTGAGATCACAGAGTTGAGGAGGTCAAGGAAAGATTCATGGGCACAAATCATAGAGGGATTGAGTGGGGTTTGAAGGGAAGATAAGCTTTGGATGCATAAAGCAGAGTACACAGGGGTCTCCTTTCTAGTTCGTGAAAGAGAAAATCACTTTTAAGACCCCCAGAGGGAAATCAATGCCCTCCTCCCCCATGGAGAAACCTTCCTGTCTTAACAGGAACAACATAAATAACACTTCTATTATAAGAAAGGATTGGCTTCTTATTAAGACCCATAAATCAGCAGTTATTTTATTTTCACAAAGTGACCCCCAAATGTAATTTTAAAGTGAAAGCATATTTTAAATGGCATATCGGTATATATAATTTATATTTCTGTGTATAAATATGGTTCTGAGATATCTACTTACATTTGAATAATTATTTGGGGGAATACACTGTTTTACTACCTATAAAAAGTCAGATATAGTGGGTAAAATATAGGGCTTTAAATTGCTATCCATTCATATGAGTATTGTACTAGAGTGTTGAAAAGCATTAGAATCAGTGAGGCTGGGATCAAATTCTAGCCTATGTCTTTTATCAACTGTATAATCATGTTTCTTTTGTTTACCACTGTAAACTTTGTGTCATCACAGGTGTCTAGGTCACAGTTTGAGTTCAATATGTTTGTTGAAATAACAAGTTAGTGAATAACCCTGAGATAAGATGCCTGAGGTCTTGAGAGGGGAAGTGACTTCCCCAAGCTCAGACAATTGGTGACACATTCAGGACGAGAACCCAGTCTGCTGCCTCCCAATTAAACGTTCTTTTCATCAGAGTCAGTCATCTATATTAGCTTGTACTTTTTTATGTCCAAGTGGTTGAAACTAAATTCAGATTACTGAAGAAAATACGGGAATTTAATCAATGGTCCCTGGGCCATTTCTTAGGGCACTTAAACCCTGGGAAAGATAAAGCATATCTCAGGAACACCAAGGATAAGAGTTTGTGTGATTCCAAGGCTCTTTTTCTTCTTTAGTTATCTGTCTTACTCTGTGTGACAGCTGCATCCTTTTCTCTCACTATAGAATGCTTTTCTCCTTATAGAGGAGATTATCATTGATAACACCTCATCTGATGCTACTTGTGATTGTTCATTTTATGTGTCAACCTGACTGGGCCATGAGATGCCCAGATATTTGTTTAAACTTTATTTCTGGGTGTGTCTGTGAGGCTGATTCTAGACGAGATTAGCATTTGAATCAGTAGACTAAATAAAGAAGATCCTCCTTCCCACATTGTGGGTGGGTCTCATCCAATCCTTTGAAGGCCTCATCAGAACAAAAAGGCTGAGCAAAGAAAGAATCTTATTGGCCAACCTCCAGTGGGGCGTCCAACTCATGACAATCAGCTGTTGCTAAAAGGCAGGACCATATTGTACCTGGCAGTGCACTTGGTAATCATGAGGGGAGAGGAAGGGTCGATTTCTAGAAAAGGGGATTTGAAGATTCAATCCTACAAGTGTCTACTAAGTATGATATTGCCTTTTGATTATCCATAATTTTCTTGTGTAGGTGTTTGCATTCTCCAAGAATTAATGATGTCAGCAGACTACCCGTAGGAAAGATAGAATTATTTCTCCTTAAATTTTACTCAAGATTTTAATATGTTACTTTCTCAAAATAGAAATACCTATTCACTTACCATTTAAAAAGATAAAAACAACATTTATTAACTATAACAACAAATCTTCAATTAAAGTATTAGTTAAATCTTCAATGAAAGTAGTTGAAGGACCAACTTGGTATTTAACTAGATGATTTGGCTGTTTTTTTTTCAATTTAATTAATTTTATTGAGATAACAGTTGTGTATAACATTATATAAATTTCAGATGTACATCATTATACTTCGACTTCTGCGTACACTACATGGTGTTCACCATCCAAAGTCTAGTTGCCACACAACAAATACACATGTGCCCTTTACCCCTTTCACCCTCCCCCGCCCCTTCCCTTCTGGTAGCCACCAATCCATTCTCCGTGTCCATGTGTTTTTTTTTTTTTTTTTTTATCTTCTGCATATGAGTAAAATCATGTGGTATTTAGCTTTCTCCTTCTGACTTATTTCACTTAGCATAACACCCTCAAGGTCCATCCATGCTGTTGAAAATGGCAAGATTTCATCTTTTTTTAATGGCTGAATAGTATTCCATTGTGTATATATACATATATATACATCTTCTTTATCCATTCATCCATTGTGGGGCAGTTAGGTTGTTTCCAAGTCGTTGCTATTGTGACTAATGCTGCAATGAACATAGGGGTGCATACATCTGCTTGAACTGGTGTTTTCATGCTCTTTGGATAAATATCCAGAATGGAATAGCTGGATTGTATGCAGTTCTATTTTAATGTTTTTATAAATCTCCACACTGTTTTCTATAGTGGCTCCTTATCAAATATATGTTTTGCAAGTATTTTCACCAAATTGTTAGGTTGTCTTTTTTGTTTTGCTGATGGCTTCCAACTAAAAGACTGTTAGAAACAATAAACGAGTATAGCAAAGTTGAGGAGTACAAAATCAACATACAAAAATCAGTTGTGTTTCTATACACTAACAAAAATTAACTCAAAATACGTGAAAGACTTGAATGTAAGACCTGAAACCATAAAATTCGTAGGAGGAAACACAGGCAGTATGCTTTTTGACATCAGTCTTAGCAGTTTACTTTTGAATATCCTGTCTCCTCAGGCAAGGGGAACAAAAGATAAATAAATAAATAAACAAATAGCACTACATGGTTTTTTCTTTTTTATTTCATATTATTGCGCATCACTGACCTTGAAATTTCCAATTATAAGGAAAGTTTTTCTTTAAAAATATTCAAAAATCCACTTAAATGATTAAATTATGACCTTTATATATTCAAATACCTTAAGACCCATACCTGAATGATTTCTTATCCTTTACGTCATTCCAGAAAGTTCCCAGAATAACCATGTCTTATAAGATGAAAATACCACATCTATGCAGTGAAGGAAAAGCAGGAAAATTGTTAAGTTCATTATTTGACATAATAAAGGAAAAAGAAGACAAAGTTGTTTGATTAAAGAATATATTTCTTATCTGTTTATGTTCACATAGTCTAGAAGAATCTAAGTGCCAATGTTAAGCATGTTTTCAAAAGCCAAAATCCTAGGCCTTTTTAAACACAAATGTATACAGGATAATGTACATGCCTTATAATTGTGGGTTCAAATACTTAATTACTAGTTTAACTCCTGTAGACTGAAATAATGGCAGTACAGCCTACACAGTTACCACTGCAAGATTGAGAACATATTTTACTTTACGAATACTGTAGGGAGTTGTAAAACAGCATCCATATAAATCAATTTCTTTAGAAAGAAAGACTACATTTTATCCAGGCATTTTTAAGCCTCTGAATGCAAAGTGTTAGGGAAAAGTACATCCATTTATACCTCTCCTTACACATAGCCCAGCAGGAAATAAGCAGTGTGTCCAGAATCAATCCTAGCAAATAAAGTTTATATTGATGTTCTGCCAGTCTGATCTTGTGTGGCAAAGTCAATTGGAGGGGAAAGCTGAGTCTCCAAGGCTAATTAGTTTCCAGAAAATTCCCCATTTTCTCTTTCGCTGAGCCTCTTTTAAGGAGTAAATCTCTCAGTGCTCCAACAAGCAATTTTGACCTTAAATGTATGCTGCTCATCAGATGTGGGTGAAATCACAGGACGGGTCCCTTATGCCTGTTTCTGATTGAAGCGATAGAGGGAAAGCCGTTTTACCAAGTGCAACAGCCGCCCCTCCCCAGTGTGTCCATGTGCTGTGGGGTTGGAACATAGTTGCCTCTGGTCATTTAATTGCACTGAGTCTTATACGTAAATTTGCAAACACCAGCTGTCTTACGGGTCACTCCAGGGTGTGTGTGTGAAGTGGGGCAGCAAGGAGCGAGAAGGCTTAGGAAGCTGGCCACAGGTGAAAATCAAAAGCATAAAGCTCTGTTGAATTAGAATTGCCTGAAACTGAGGCCAAATTTCAGAAAAGGAGAAATTGTAGTTTAAAACATTCAAAAACAGAAAAAAATATAGGCATAAATCATTTCATTGGTAAATTCTACAGAACATTTCAGAAAGAAGTAATATAAATTGCACAAAATCTCTCCAGAGAATAGAAGAGGAGAGTCCATGCCTCAACACATTTTGTGAGAGAATTGCCCTAATCCTCAAATCAAACAAGGATATTATAAGATAATAAAATTACAGATCAGTATCTGCTATGGACTGAATTGTACCACCCCCAAATTCATACTAAAGCATTAACCCCAGAGTGATGGTATTTGGAGATGGGGCATTTGATAGGTAATTAGAATCAGGGTAATTAGCTTATGAGGGTTGGGCTGTGGTCCCATAAAATTGATGCCTTATAAAAGGAGGAGAGATTCCAGAGTTCTCTGTTTCCCAGCAGAAGTAGAAAATAAATGGTTATTGTTTTCAGCCACTAAGATTTGGAGTTGTTTGCTACTCAAAAATAGGTAACTGGAGGGGCCGGCAGCGTGGTGTAATGGCTAAGTTCATGCACTGCACTTCAGCAGCCCAGGGTTTGCGGGTTCAGATCCTGGGTGCGGGCCTATACAGCACTTGTCAAGCCGTGCTGTGACAGCATCCCACATATGAAACAGAGGAAGATTGGCACAGATGTTAGCTCAGGGCCAATCTTCCTTACCAAAAAAAAAAAAAAAAAAGGATAACCAGAATAAAGAAAGAATATCATGTCGTAAAGCTTCAAATGCAAGCGGCCTCCAGATAAAACGCTATAGGTAACCCCAAACTCTGTGTCTGACACCACCCTTTCCTAACAACTTGGCAATCAGATGTTCCAAGCCCACACCAGAGTATCCTAAAGATTTTATTTTTTTGTATACAGCCTTTCTCCTCTTACATCTCTAAAAGGCAATTGTTAGGGTGTCCTTACACTAATTAACTCCAACTCCACCAAGATATTATACCAATATCATAAGAATGATCTCGCTCAGGAGAATTCTCATTGCCTTCTGAAATAACTTAAGAAGGTCCATTTGCATCATTCTACACAGGTCAGATTCTTACATCTCCTAGGTTATTGTCAACTTAGCTCAGAGGACAGGCACACAGCTACTTGGCTCAGGGTGCACAGGTTCTGAGGTATGCAGGGCCCAAATGGAGCTATTCTGTAGGGTTGGCAACAGCTCCAGCTTCTTTTTTATATGTCCAGGGGATGCAAAAACATGCTTGCAAATGGAATTCCTAGAAAAACTTTGAATTTCCTAGAGTAAGTAGGCAAATTTAACTCAATAGCTATGTGAATTAGGCCATATGGATTTGTACAGGGAACAATTTTCTGTCGCTAAACATTTTACCCAAGCTATAGTCGGCCATCTCACAAATATGTAAACAGGTATAAGAAGAAACACGAGAAAGTGTGAAATGTGAGCTTAATGAAAGTCTATCATTTTCCAAAACCCAAAGGAAAATTACTTTATTTGCTTACTCCTACTTTTTTCCCAAAATGTGTTCAAAGCTGCTGAAGGTGAGGATTAAGGTAATGAAAGCCATCTTTTATCATAATTGTTTTGCAGGCTATAACAAATCAGGAGTGTTCATAATAGGTGTGTTTTCAGTTTACCCCAAAATAATAGCCACTAGATGGGTGGTATTTAATTCATTAAAAGAAAGAATGTCAAGAATGAATGACATCAACAAATGTATAACTTGGAAATTCATGGAGGTGGTGGTAGAAATGAATAGTTATAATATAACCAAGGCATGTTAAACAAAAAGCCTCTGGGGCAGCCTTTTTAATACTTTCCCTTTCATATAGTCCCACTAATGGCTTCAACCCCACAGATGCAGTCTGAAGAGGCTTCGCTTATCGCTCATTTATGCCGTATCAACATTTATAGGGATAGGAGTAGCTCTCATATAAGACATCAAACTGAGGCTGTGTCCACATGACAAAAATGAAGTAAATCTTAACAAAAAAGCTTAAAATATTTATTGGCAAACATTCTTAAAGCTTCAACAAAGTATCTTCAAGTGTAAATTAATGTTTATTTAGGATGAACACTTATAGACACTTAAAATGATTGTATTAGTTATTCTATATTCCTAGGATCTTATAAAAACGATGTGGAAGGAGTAGAAAAGAGTGATATTTAAGCTTAGTTTTGTCTTTAAGCATTGAGGACATATTTTACTTACACAATTATTGTACCCGTACATTCCTTTACAGCCAACTTAACACTGCCAGGGAAAGCATTAGTGAACCTGAAGATAGATAAATAGAAATTAAACAAACAGAAAACCCATACAGATCATTCAAGAGCTCTGGGACAATACCAATTAGCCCAACATACATGTAGTTAAATATCTAGAAGAGAGAGAAGGCAGCATTTGAAGAGATAGCCAAGAATTATTCAAAAATAATGAATAAAAATGAAGAGATTATCAAACTGGAAAAAAAGTAAGACCCAAGTATACATTGTTGTGAGAAATCCACTGTAGGTATAAATTGTAGATTGACTAAAGTAAAAGGACTCACACCATAATCAAAACAAAGACAGAAGGACTATTGATATCAGATAGGTTAGACTTCATAAAAGGGACATTACCAGAAATAATGAGGGATATTACAAAATGATAAAAGCGTTAATTCACCAAAGACATAATTTAAATGTATATATGCCTCAAAACAGGGCTTAAAAATACGAGAAGCAAAAACCAATACAACAGGAGAAAGCGACAGAGCCACAATTATAGTTGGAGACTTTAACACTCCTCTCCTAGGATTTAACAATAAACTAGACAGAAACCTATAGGACATAGCTGTGAATACTACTATCGTCCAGCCTGACCTAGTTGGCATCTAGAAACCATTCCACCCAACAGACAGAATACACATTCAAATGCCCATTGAAATCATACAAAGCATGTTTTCTGTCCACAACACAATTAAACTAAAAATAAACAACAGAAAGTTATCTGGGAAATCCCAAATGATTGGAAATTAAATAACACACGTCTAAAGAACTGACAGGTCAGATCAAAAAGCCAAAGCATTTTTAATTGAATGAAACTGAAAGGGAATATATAACATTTCTAGGATGCAGTGGAAACAGAGCTTCATCTGCCTTTGTGGGTCACAGGCTGACCCGACAGCCCCTCGCCTCAGCCGCACGGCATGTCTTTTCCTTTCCGTCCTCTGATTTCTCTGCCACCATTTGGGATGCCTGTGGCAAATGCTCAGAAATTCTTAAAATGAGAGAACTTGGAGGTGCAAGGAAGTTGAGACCCCATAAGCTCATGAATATTGGAGGCAACAAATATCAGATTCCAACCCTCAGGAACTAATACCAAAGTAAATTCTATACATTTCTTCGGAGAGTCTCCAAGCAAGACCAATACGCAGTGGCCCTGGAAATGGTAAGCTCAACAACATGCTGTAACACTGATGTTTCCTCTCCTTTTCTATGACGTTATTCTCATGCTTCCACATCCATTGATTGGGATCAATTCCCAAAATAAACCTATAGGCAAGCCATCTCCTCAGTTTCTTGGAAGAACTCAAGATAAGAAAAGACCATAAATGTCTTCTTTTTGATAATCCGCTCATATATTACTATTTTTCGCTATTACAAATAATATTGTGGTGGACATCATTACACATGTATCTTGGCCACACATACATATACATGTGTATGTTGGGTGGATTCCTGAGGCTAATATGTTAGATAAAAGGGTTCACACATTTTAAATTTCCATAAACAGAGCAAACTTTTCTTTTAACAGTTGTAACTATTTATATCCTCACAAAAGTTTCAGGAGTTGTTTGCAATTTATTGGAAATATCCTTTCTTTCCAATACCACTATAAATTCCTTGGTAGCAAAGACTACGTTCACTATGTCATAACCCCAATATTAGCATAGCATCTATTAGAAATATGTTTGTAAGTTCAATGGTTGTGCAGAAATAAATACTATTTCTACAAAGAGAACAGGTAGGATGCAAGATCCAAACATTCTAACCTTTAGGAATTCCATCAAATCAGAGTGGCCAGTCCGTGGAGGTTCACACTCCTGGTAGCAGGCCAAAACATTTACAAACTTTTTTAGTTTCCAATATTCACGTAATTGAAATACTGATTCAACAATTATGAGCACAGCAAATAGTATAGAAAACAACAAAATCATTTGGGGAACATGTCTTTTCTTATGAGGCAGCCTCATAGTTAACCATGTAGGTTTCTAAAGAGAATTTATTTATATAAGAACATAGTAATACAGTAGTAGTATTTTCACAATATACTTGATGGGTGGGTAATTCTCTAACAAAAATAAAAGCCATAAATATTAAAATTTATGAAGGCTCAGTTGCTCCAAACTTTTCTATTGCCGAAAAGTAGTTAAAATCTTAGTTGCTGACTTTCCCCCGGGATAAAATTTTTACTGGAAAGGTGGTTGGACTATGGAAACATTTACCAGCTGCAGGTATAATACTGTGTCTGTTGTCAGACTCACAATTTCATTGGTTTATTTCTGGAGGATTATTTAGATGGCTGTGGTCTTATATCCAGGCCCCTAGGAAAGAAAAAAAAAAAAAGGAAAGAAAGAAAAAGGAGCCTATGAGGTGCACCTTCTCACTGCAGAATAGTGATTTGTTATGCATTTGTCTGAGTTAAATACAGGAGCCAGTCATCTTGCACAGTCCTGTATTATTTTCTGCCCACTAAAAAAAAAGAAACAGTTGTTTGGATAGTTGAAGTAGTCTCAATAAAAACCACAGCTCCCTTCCCCACTCTTACATTTATTTAAGGTAGATTTGCAGCGCTTGTGATATAAATTTCACCAATTAATCAATAAGAATTGAAATTTGTTTGACTCATTAATGCCATCATCATTTATTCAGATCTGTTACTACTTTACGATGGTGATTTTGAATGTAGCATTCCTACTGGAGTACCAATTATTTGGGAGGGAGAGGTGGCTGACTGCTCACTCCCCTGGGTTATTAATCAATTGGTGGGCTGACTGCAAAAATTAATTAGGGATTGCAAAAACCCTCCTTCATTATATTAAATGGTTCATTGAAAACAAATAACCTCACCTGCATTAACTCTGAGTTCACAGATTAAAGAAATTGAATTCATTACAAGTGATTTTCAGTTCCCAAGCTGAGACCAATATAATGTTCAAAGACAGTCTACATCTCAAGGAAAGGTGCCATTATTCTGCCATTTCTAGTTGCTCCAGACATTTGCTAGATCCCAACGTCTGTTATGATTTGATTGAAACTAACGGGTTTCCGGGCACGTGCAACTGCAGTCCCGATAATGATTGAAGTCGCGAGAATCAGGTCTTGATGTATGTTGATTGTTGTAAAATATTTGGCAATTTAATTCTTTGGTAGCAGGATCCAAAAGGCTTGTTTGAGTTCTGTAATAAGACTTCAGTGTGAGGTTATGCTTCCTCCTGCACTTGAATATTTACTATATTTTCCAAGAGAAGGATATAGTATATCATGGACTGATTTGTCATAATTCTCCTTAAATATTGTAAATTTTATTGATCTCATAAATTAAATACAGCATAGAATGTATATATGTCTAATACCATAGCTCTAATATTAATAAGAAGAATGATCCATTTTCCTTTGTTTATCCTATTTGTGGAAGATCCAGTAAAGCTTTCAGTAGGCCATCCTCCTTTCTGCTTTTTTTTTTTTTTTATTTTTGGTGAGGAAGATTGGCCCTGAGCTAACATCTGTTACCAATCTTCCTCTTTCTTTTTCTCTCCCCAGAGCCCCAGGACATAGTTGTATATCCTGGTTGTGAGTCATTTTAGTTCTTCTATGTGGGATGCCATCACAGCATGGCTTGATGAGCAGTGTGAAGTCTGCGCCCAGGATCCAAACTGGCCAACCCTGGGCCGCTGAAGTGGAGCACACGAACTTAACCACTCGGCCACAGGGCCAGCCCCCTTTCTGCTTTTTAAAAATAAGTAGTTATGCATTTTCGTTGATTATTATAAAAGTAATTTATAAAATACGCTATCATTTTCACCATAGAAGATACAAAATATGATGATGAAATAAACTTAGATTACTTATGACCCTATCATTCAAAGACCACTGCTGTGTACAAGTTTGTGTGTAAATATATATACACACATGAATTTACTTTTTGCAAAATTTCATATTGAATTAAAAATTGATTTCACATTATATAAAAATATAGATATTGGCTTGTTTATCTTAGTCTTATATCATGATTATGTCACTATTACTTAAATGTCCTCAAAATATTACTTAATCATTAACTTAATTTTGAAATCCTCCTTCTATGCACTTCTTTCTTTTACTTTCCTGAAGTGAAGTGGGCATGTTAAGAGGATGGATTTCGGTGTTATGCAAACCTGGACCAACATTTATCAAGTCTATGGCCATCTTCAAGTCCAAAATCTGTTACGTCTTCCAGCCTCAATTCTATATTTGTGGAATGGGGATATCGCCTTCCTAAAAATGCTGAGAGGAGTACTTGCAAAGTTGTCTACAAGCATTTAACATTGTACCTAGGATGCAGTAACAGCTCAGTAAAGTTAGCTGTTATTATTTGTATACTGTCATTTCTCAACAGAAGTCATCCAAATGACTCCTACGGTTTCAGCGTTCAATGATAATGCACTCCAGTGTCAAAGAAAATATTTTTCCTTTCTTACAGGTGTGTAAATCTGCAGGAGAGTAAGAGCATCTTAAGACTGGACTGCATTGATGAGGTTCAACTTTCATTCTTATGCCTTTGAAAAATGATCCTACAGATATTTTCCTAACAAAGCTTCATTTGGCCTTAGTCAGAGCCACACTTTTTGCCTATACTGCAGTTACTTCCCTGGATTTGTCCACTTGTCCCTGTCTGATTACATTCACTACTGAGAGCTGTCACTGCCCAGAGCAAGGTAAATCCCTCTCCATAGAGATGGAGTAATACACCATGCATTTTAAATGAAGGCTGTTTGAAGGCCTAGGTTCCAAATATGTTTTCTTACCATCTCTTTAAATAAAGTGGAGGTGTTCTATTCTATAACAAACACACTCGACTCTGAGCTTTCTATCCCCAAAGAAGTGATGGGGAAAATTCTTTTAAAACTAATGGAATGGCCTCAAACATTATATTTATGTAATCATCTATATGTGATCTTAGGAACTGATATCATCAGTTATGGAGGTAAGTATTTTAAAAATATTCGGCCATTCTTTGTCCTTGTCACTTTACTTCATGGAAGTAATCATGAATATGCACAGAGATTTGCCTGCTAGAATTCTCAGCATAAAATTGTATATAAAATTAAAAGATTAAAAATGACCTACATCTCCAAAAATATTAGAGAAAATTGCTCATAATTTATTAAATTAATTATAGACATTAATAAATGAATAATGCTATCAGAAAAGATTTCATGAGAGAATAGGAAAGTAAAAATTGCAAAACAGAATGTGAATTGTGGTCCAATTTTGTAAAAGTAAAAATGAATATGCATATAAATATCCAAGAGACTGTCATTCTCTTTTTTGCTTTCTATCTGCATCTTAATATGATGTTTAATCATAATGTACAACTTTTGTAATAAGTGAAATAATGAATATTTTCTTTAATGTACAATGGATGCAAAATTCAACTTAATATTGCCAAATAAGCTTGGTTTTCTTCATTAGCACATTTCATGGAGTCCGTCATTATCAAGAATAATATTTATATAACCCTTGAAATCTGTCTCTCCATCTTTTGCAAATGTGACAGTAATAATAGGAATTCAATGTCCTTTTGCTATGTGGATAAAGAACAGTATACTTCAGTACTGAAAACTTTTCCTCCTTTGTATGGCAGGCAGAATAATGTTCTGTCCTCAAAATGTCTGTGTTCTAATTCCAAGAACTTGTGAATATGTTAATTTAGATGACAAAAGAGACTTTCCACATGTGATTAAATTAAAGGTGTTGAGATGCAGAGATTACTCTGGATTATTTGGGTGGGTCCAATGTACTCACAGGGGTCCTGAGAAGTAGAGGAGGGAGGCAGGAGACATGGTGACGGAAGCAGAGGCCATGGTGCCTGAAGGAGGTCATAAACCGAGAAGTGTAGGGGGGCTGGCCTCCAGAAGCTAGAGAATGCAAGGAAATGGATTCTCTGCCCTGAAGCCGTCAGAAGGAAAACAGTCTTACCATCTCCTTGATTTTAGGACTTTTGACCTCCACACCTTTAAGAGAATAAATTAGTATTGTTTTAAGTCATTAAGTTTGTGGTACTTTGTTATAGCAGCCATAGGAAACACATACACTTTGAAAGACAGAATTTGCTTCTGAATTCCTTGGCAGTTCCCGTGTAGAACCAGGTCAGGCATTCAGAAAGAACAATCTGACTTTTCTCTAATTTTCCCAGGATGACTTCAGATATTTCCCCAAAAGTAAGCATTCACCATCTCAGTTCATGAAAAATAAAAAAGTTTCAAGTATCAAATGGTCTAACAAAGAAGTCGAATATCCACATTTGCAAATTAGAGCAAGGGAGATGTGCTGCTCCCAGAAGGAAGGTGAATAAAAAAGTCCCTTGGCAGCGGGCCTTTCAGCTGGGGATTCCCCAGGTTTCGGTCAACTGTGTGCCAGCAGTTTAGAGCGCCTACCATAAGAGCAGGTGAAAATGTGGTTATAAGCTATGTGATGACAGTTTCCCGTACATTATGAAGAGAACAGAGCAGCTCCTATATATCTGCTACAGACAGGATGATTTTTGCTACAACAGAACTGGGAACAATTTCTAAATGTGCCACATGCACTTAAGGATACCTCTTATTTTTCTCTTTAATAACATAGTTCTAATAGCAAAACTAATACATATTCAATGAAGGTTATCTTGGGAAATACTAAAAAACATGTGGCAAAAATAAATAGCCTGCAATGCTGACTATTAAAATTTTCACCCTCTCTTTCTCTCTCCTCTGTTTCCCTCCTATCTTTCTTTTTCTATTTGTGCATAGACTTATGTAAACAAAAACAAAAAATAAGATGATCTCTGCTGTGGTGCCACAGTGCATTAGTTACTATTCCGAGTTCTGTTGTTATCATTTAGTCACTAAATGTTAGCTGCCAGGTCTCTGGTTCTCCACCTGGTGCATGGATCAGAATTGCCTGGAAGCCTCATTAAAATATGCATTACTGGCCTCCTCACTTAAAGTTTCTGATTCAGTAGATGTGGGGCAGGGCCTCTAGAATTTGCATCCTAATGAGTTCCCAGATGACACAGATATGGTTGATCCAGACACCACACTTTGAGAATCTCTACTCTAGACAGAAGAACATTAGCCGACAATGGAAAATATTCTATATTTCTGTTATCTCTTCCATTTCCAATTAATATATATTTATTTCTTAATTGTGTCTATTTAGTACATTTGGAGGGTCACAGGTTTATACACAGTGTTCAGTAGGTATGCAAGAATGGCTCTTGTTCAGAAAATTTAAGAACAAAGTGTTTTTTCTCAACTATTTGGATATTTCTGGTATTCAAGACATAAATAATGGAGACAATTTCGGTCAAAGTCCCAACTAACTTTGCATGTATAAGCTGAAATTCTATGTATGATGGTAATTGTTTTCAAGGAATTCCATTTAAGTAAAATTCCCTAATGATATGTGTTTTCCAGGTAATCTTGAAACATTTTTTTTTTAAAATGGATTAACTGAAACAGCTGGCTGGAAGCCTTAGAATGTAGGAACCCCAAGCTGTTCTGGTTGCACAATCCAAATGTAAACAGTTTTCCTTGTCATTTGTTGGCATAGTGTTTGCGACACCGAGTTATTTCACTTTACTGAAATTTCTCTCATGAAAAATGTATGGAACAACCTTCACTTCTGCCAAACCCTCATGTATTTACCTCACTGGATGCAGCGAATATTTGTGTGTAAACATATGGAAAGCCCTTGTACCATCTGAGTGGAGCATAGAACAAGAATTATTCTTACTGCCCATAGGAAAAAGTGTAACGTAGATAAACTTTGCGCTGGCATCCACTTTCATCCTAAACTCTTTCCAGAACATTCCTGCTTACCTGTGCTCCTGCCAGGGGTGACAAGAAGCTCTCTTGTTGGCTTAAACCTGGACTGGAGAAACTGAGATTTTTATGGTCCTGGGTACAGCTACCTGTTCCCTAAACCCCAAATTCAGAACAAGGTATTCAAACACTAATCTATGAATTGTGAATTT